TCTAACTTGTTGACTAGAATCTTTTAGTCTAGTCTGATCTAATTCGGTCTGGTCTGGTAAATGTATGGTCTCTGTGTATTGTATAACTATTTAAGTCTGATATGGTCTGATCTGGTCTGAGACTGAAAATAATTCAAGTAAATTAAAACCATCTTACGTTGACAAAAAATTGCATAGAAATTTACACGACCCGTTAATTACATGATACAACTAGCTGTACCATGCACACGATACAACCAGATATTTTAACTTATACTTGATGTGTATATAGTTAGAATTAAATGAGTATTTGTATTATAAAGTTCACACATAATAAACAACTTTATGATAATACAATGATAATATAATTAAATGAATAAGTTGATTTGTAGCATATATATTACGTGTAAATCATGGTACTCAACTGCTCATTTCTTATACTCAATTATGCTATCAATACAGTGATTTGATAACAATGTCCATTTCTTATAAATGTAATACTCAGTACGTGTAAAATAAATTATCTTATTGTATGGTGAGCACTGTATAACCGAGTGTACGGTATAGGCTCTCTATACGACCCAACGGTGGTGGAGTCATATGATTACAAACAAAGTACACATAGAAATTCATATTGCGTATATAAAATCCATATGTAATTTTTTTTAAGAAATATAAAGTTTCAACTGTTGAAAGTTTGCAAACAGTTGTTTTAAAGAAATTCAAGTACTAAAATTAAGATCCCATGACTAATTTACATTTTCTTTTTTACATTTTTCAATTTTTTATTTAAAAATAAATTTGAAGTAACAATAAAAATTAAAATCCAAATTTATTTATTTTACATCGAAATGTTTGGCTTTTGAAATCACAATTATTGGCAAAAAAATTAAAAAAAATTGATATATAATAACAATAAAAGAAATACTTTAATTAAAAAACTTTGCTGGATAAATATAGTGATGATGCTTGAATTATAGCAAAACATGAATTGATTGACAGAAGACATATAAATTTGTGGAGAAATTGATTTATGAATTTGACAAAGCTGGATTAGGATTAGCCTAATACTCATTCATTTTTATCGAAGAGAGCTTAATTTTAAAGTGAATACTCATGATTATGATGTCACGCAAGTTTATATCAGTTGAAACTTGAAACTAGTTTGGTGGGCTTGACCGTTTTCAACTTATTTGTCTGGTAGGACAGTTAAAATAAGTATTTGGTATATATTTTTTATATCAAGAGCAAGTTTACTCATAACACCGTTTTGGATCAGATTGTTACTATCAACATATGTAAGGTAAAGTTCTTACACACATATATATCATTTTCTTTTCCCCCCGTTAAAATATGGGGCAGGGGCAGGGATTGCTACACCCGCCCTGTCCCCGTTATATATATAAACTCAAACATACATATATATATATATATACAAACATACATACACATTTAAATAATGTATAACCTTATTTAAGTAAATTATAGAGTACGGAGTATATAACAAACACATGCATATACATATAGACATATATAAATGTAAATATGTGTGGAATTGTGTATTAGTCATGATTAATGAATTAATAAATATTATATCATCATAATAATACGTAATAACTAAAAAATACTTGTCATAAATGTTATATGAGTTTTAAAAGTGAGAAAGTGAGTTAATAGAACACATATGCATATTTAAGTATAATATACTCCATATATAATTAATTGTATTCTAATTGATGAGAAATTTTTAACGACGTATATGATGATAATATGTTTACTTATATTTTTAATTTTCTTATTCAAATTAAAGAATCATTGAAAATTGACGGAATTATCTTTTATCAAACACGATTTTATCTTGCTTACTTCTTTTAGTGCTATATATATTTATATTTATCTTTAAAATGGGTTAAAAAATATGAAAATAAGATACTCCCTCTGTCCCATTTAAAGGTTCTCGTCCACTATTCTCCGATCAACGTGCATTGTTTTTAATCTTTTACTTTATATATCTAACTTTTATCAAATTAATTTTTTTTATCAGGTATTATAGATCTTTTAATATTGTTTCTGAATATATAAATTTTATCTACTAAAAATAATTCTACTAATGACATGGATCATTTAAATTTATGATCAGTCAAACATCGTAAGCCGTGTGAGAACCTCTAAATGGGACGGAGGGAGTAAATAAAATCTATATGGGGGCAACCGCGGGCACCCGTGGGGGACACCGGGGTGGGGCGGGTCTGGGAGTAGCGGGGGATGGGGGAAGCTTTTTAGACATGGGACGGGGGATGGGGGAGTGAACCCCCGCCCCAAACCAGGGCCGTTCCTTGTGTGAGGCTGCTGAGGCATTGGCCTCAGGGCCCCAAATATTTTAAAATTTTAGGGGCCCAATATTTTAGATATCTTCCTATTACATATACATAAATGTATTTTAATTATAAAAAAACTGACTTTGTTTTAACTTAGATTCTATCACTGCGGGCACATTAAAACTGAAATAGCGAGGTTACGAAGTGGAACTCAATACCGAGGCCGAACCAGGGCCGTGTTTTGTGTTCATTTTTTTTATGAATAGATTTTGAAGCCTTGATTTTTGAAATGTTAAAGCTTAAAAGTTTATGGGCCTAGTGATCTTGATTTGTTTCGCACAATGAAACCTCTATTTTTGTTTAATTGGAGATAAGAATAAGTAGTTCTTAGGGTTGATTTGAGATGCATTAATTGATCCATATGTTTAGAAAATTAAGTTTGAGCATAATTTTGGATATTTAAAATATTTGAGATGCAGAATTAAACCATTTTAGTTTTTTATATTTAAAATTTACATATTAAGTAGGTTATTTCTCTAATTTACTGACAAGAATGTACTATCTATTATTTAACACATTTATTTAACTAATATTAGGGTATGTCTCAAATAAACTAGGTAGTAAAAACTAATATTATCATATGAGTATATGATTTTAATAAGTTATGTTTTATTTATCTTTAGTATCATGCCTCCCACATGCATGTCCCGGTTTCAAAAGAGAAAAAGGACTCGGTCCGTCCAAAATCGAGCTGGAAATATTAGTAAGTACTCGGTCCGTCCCTGAAAAACTTTCAACTTTCCTTTTTTGGCGTCACAAAATAAACTTTCCTTTTTAGTAATGAATTTGTTTTTCACATCATTTCTTATACATTTTTCTATCATATGTACAATTCTCCATCATACAATACTCACTATCTTAATACACGTGCCATTTGTACCATGTAAGAAAAATTAGGGATGGATGGAGTACTTGAATTCGAACAAATGAGCCACTCTTCATTAATACTTTTGCGGCTAAAACTGTCCGATGAGTTGTACTTGATGAGTTATTTTTAATACATTTGGTATTGTTATATTATACTATGTATAATGTAAGATTTTTTAAATTATTTATTTTGTGATGTTAATCATTAATTAAAAAAAACTACACAAAATTGTAAATTATAGTGGCCTTTTTATGAAATTCGACTCAGGCTCTAGTTTAGGTAGGATCGGCACTGCCCCAAACCCGCCCCGTTGACATCCCTAGTTGGCTAGTTGGAACTCGAGAGTTGTAATTCAAAACCTAATTGGGATGCTAATTTGACTTCAAAAGATGTACTCCGTAATATCAATAGCTTAGTTGTATAATAGTCCCGTGCCGCCTATACTTGAGCTGAATCATATAGTCAAGTCTTGAACAATATTTTTCTTTTGAAATGCTCTTATCTTAAATTATTAATGTTCAAAACAACCTATCTAGGTTGAAAACTATGTCTGCAAGAGCCCAAATCAGCACATTGAGCCCAAACTACTATTGATGATCTACTTGAGATATTTTTTTTCAATCACGCATTCACGCTCCACGAATTAACCTAATGATATTATGCAAAAGACCATTTGGGATGATTCTCTAGCTATGTCCTTGAACTAATCGAGTCCAGAATAGACTTGACTCAATTTTAGGACAGAACTATTGTTCATTTGTGAGTCTGTGCCAATGTGCCATCATAAAAGTTCCACGTCTGCCACAGCTTGAGTATTAATTAGGGATGGACTGGAATAGTCAGCCCAATCCCAGGCCCAGGTACTATTTAGGCCCGGCCCAGTCCCAATAACTATGAGGGCGAGCTTCAGGCTCATTTTGGGCCCGGCACAACCCCAGGCCCGATTGCACAGTTTTTTTTAATTTATTGCTCAATCCCGTACCTGAGCCCTGCCTGACCCAGTACTGTTTAGGCCCAGCTCGGCCCGGTACTGGTACAAACCCGACCCGGTATCGAGCCTGAAATTTTTAGGCCCGAACCCATCCAGTCCGGGCCTGACCCAGTCCCGGTCCATCCCTTGTAATAATACTAACAAAAATTCTCTTTTTAGTATAAATAAATGAACCGCTAGGCATGGACTCGATTCGGGCCGCCCGCCCCGGGAACCAGCCCGGCCCGCTACATGTGCGGAACCAGCCCGGCCTGAGGGGGTAATAGGTTTCGGTTCCAGGTCATGAAAAGGGCGAACCGGCCCAGCCGGTCCGGGCCCGGTTCAGGCCTTTTTTTGGGTGTTTTTGGGTTTGGTGTGGGTGATTCCGAGGAATCCGAGGGGTTTGGGGGTGGGGAGGTGAGGTGGGGTTGAAATAAATAAGAAAACACACACACACACACAAAAAATTGAACAGGAACCGGCCCGGAACCGGTAGACTCCCGGGCTAGTCCCGAGCCTTACCCAAAACCATCCAAGCCCGGCCGGGCCCAGGCCCGAACCGGTCCCGGTCCACCCCTATGAACCGCCACATTTGTTTTCTCAGACTTGAATATTTGTTGTTTTCATCTGTTGGCTTATCCGTCAAATGACGACGCCTGTTGGTCTGTAGGAATGTCTAAATCAGACAAAAATGTAAAGCGAAAAATAAACCAACCATAGCAACCAAGTGACCAACCAAACAGAGTCTGTTTGTGTCAATAAAGACAACATTTTTTGTATTTGAAAAGGAGCAATTCCCTAAATACGAGTAAATAAAAGCAAAGTTGTGATAATATGAGTAAAAATCTAAATTTTCAAAATAGGAGTAATTTTGACTCAAAGCATATCTGGAAACTAGGGATCATTACATTTTATAAATTATAACACAAGACAGAAACTGCATGAGAAAACGTGAAATTGACCCCATAATAATAAATAATTATATATTAGTAATCAGCAAAAATTAAACCTCAGCTTGTGAGGAGGCAGAGAAAGCTGATGGCAATTCACCAAGAATTACAAATAAATTAAGATCTAAAACTCCTATTTGAAAAGCCTCTTAAAGTGATAGTATCTTCAATTGGAATTCTTACTTTCCAGCTTTGCCATAACTATCTCGCAGTGTAACTGTTCGATTAAACACCAACTTCTGAGAAGTCGAGTCCTTATCGACAGAAAAATAGCCTGCATTCACATAAATAAATTTAGCATACTTATGATATCATACTGTACTTTTTTACCCCACCCGGCCCGTTTCACTGGTTGAGACCAGTCATACGGTCTCATACTAGATTGTCTAGAAATTATGTTTAACTCTTCACACTTGAAGTTGTAATGAAAGGAGCAAGTTTGTAATAACAAACTAAAGAAGAAAATGTATAGTACACATTGTGAACACAGGCATGGAGGGAGCTAGAACATACCCAGCCTTTCGAATTGAAATTTGTCTCCAACTACAGCATTGAATAGCGAAGGAACCGCATATGCATTTGGCATCACAACTTTTGAGTGTGGATTAAAATCATCAAGCCAGTTATCAAGTTCGCCGGGATTCTGATAGCGAAAAACCCAGCAAACACAAAAAAAAGGAATTGGAAAAAATTAAAACAAAATAGAAGAGAATAATGGTACTCACAGATATAGATTTATAGATAGTTTAGCTCGGATTACTCTGATTAAAAAAATACTTCGTCCGGCACTGTGGGGGACAAAGAAAAGTGGGGCAGAAACAAAAGATGAGGGAATTGTGCAATTCACATTGGGTTTGTGATTCGTATATTTTACTCACTCCATCCCTAAAAACTTTGTCAACTTTCCTTATTTGACCAGATTGATATGTTTCCTTTTAACTAAGGAATTTGTGATTCCAGTTAATTCTCTGTCTAGTCTGCACAAACCTCAACCACACAGTTTTTACTTTATTAAATCTCGTGCTGGTCAAACTTGGCCAAGTTTAAGAACGGAGGGAGTAGATTATGCCGAGTGACATATATGTTGCGAATTGTGGTGTGAGACACTGTTTGGGACAAATAAAAAGAAAAAAATGGGACAAACTTTAAGGGACTGAAGGAATCATCAATATTATCAAAACATCAAATTTTACCTCTATTTTTTGTAGATTCTATAGATGTCCTAGAGCTCGTTTGGTGACCTTATTTTCGGCTTATCAACCTCGTAAGCAGACTTTTTCACCAAACACAAAACTTTTGATTTCGCACGATGAGTTGTGCGGTAATCAAAATAAGTAAGGTTGGAGTTACTTTTCTAGATGGATTGACTAAAGTTACTGTATACAACTATTTTAGCTATTTTTCATATAATTTTTCTTTGATTTATTAAAAAAAATTATTTTAGATATAATATTTTCAAAGTTTAGCAGAATCAGCCAATCCAGCCACTTCAAACAGAACTTGATAAATCTCAGCAGAATCAACCAATTTCAGTGTTACCAAATGGGCTACTAATGTGTCAATAATTATAATACTACCTCTGTCAACAAAAAAATCATGTTCAACCAACATTTACGCACCACTTTTAAAACGTGATGTACACATTTGTTAAATGGACAATTTTGCCACAATAAAAGAATTCTATTTGATTAAAAGGGATGTTTTAAAAAAACATTGAGATTAAATGTCATAAATTTAGTTAAATAAAAAATAAAGTGGCACAGATATATGTATTACTCATGATCTATGACAAATGTGACTTACCACAATTGAGATTTTGTATTGTGATGAAATACAATTTTATTTGGGAACAAAGAAAACATTAAATAATACTACTACTAATCTAGCTTTTGACGCCGCTTTTTCCAAAGTTCAGATCCATCTCAGGTTAGACAAAAATGGAGAAGTGGACTATGTTTGTGGGATATGGATGAAGTTTTTTAATCAAATAATAATAATACAATAAAAAGGCATGTGCATAGTTAGAGGAAACACAGTTGCTCACAAACCTCAGAAAGAAACAATTTCTCAAATAATCTCACTTCAGCCTTGAGTGGATGTACTCCAGGTGATGGATCAGCAACCCAATGAAGAACCCCCTGAATAGTATATTTAAGAAGCAAAGAGCTTAGAAGGAATTTTATTTCCAATAAACTCTGACAATAGTCTAAAACGCAAAAAAAAAATTGCAAATGTGTCATCTTGAAGCAACTCCACCTTTGGTTTGACAGTCTTTGATGGATCATACTCAGCTCGAAGCTCAATAACAGTCTCTTTATCATCACCAAGAACTACTTCTGTACACTTTACAGGAAAAGCATACCTGCAAAGCAGATAAGTTTCATAGTGGTGTTGATGTGTATTTATGTATGCAAGTGTGGCACTAAAACCTTCGACTAATTTAGATCAAGGTAATGGCACCTCAAAAGCACATATTTCCCAGGAGCAAGGCCATAATAATCTTTAGAGTCTTTCATCCTAAAATCAGAATGTTCAATGTATATAACATTGGAAAAGGGAACCTGCAAATAAAATACAAACTATGCAGGCTCAATTAAGAGATCAACATATACAAGACTCCACTGATTCTGAACTAATATATCGGGGGGAACAGATCAATTCAACCATCCAGGTAATGTCGGTCAGCCAGTCAGTCTTTACACGAGTATGGGTTTGGATGCCCAGCTACCTTGTAAAAAGATGAAGGGTCATCTGTTTGTGCATCAGGCCATCTCTTTGCATCAAGATCCAACACTAAGCCAGCTTCCATATTTGTTATGACCACCTGATATTAAACCCAATTACAACAAAAATAAGTACAATACATACACACACATCATCCGTGCTTACATACAAACATAAATAGATGCCTAAATAGGCACACCCTCTGCCCCAAAAATGGCCATATTTGATCAATGCAAACTAATTTTCATTTAGGATGCTTTTACTTGGGACTGGTTTCAGTCCTAGACCAGATCGGAATTAACCAGACCAGACCAGACTTCGCCAGTTGTAAAATACACATGAACCACACATCTATCAGACTAGACTAGAAAATTTAAGTCCAATTAAAAACATCCTTAATCTGCAAAAGGAGCATCATATATGTGCATATGATCCAACAAAAGTATGCAGTACTTGATTCGGTTTGTGATTCGAATTCGAAAATATGGATTCGAATTTGAATAAATAGAATACAAATACGAATCAAATATGTTTTTCGATTCGAATAGTTTTTTAAATGGATACAAATACAGAAATACTACCGGAGTATTATATTCGGTTCAAACAATATTTGAATATATTCGATTTATATATGAATATATATTCATACAACATATAATACTTCGTATAAACAACCACTACCTCTGTCCCATTTTATTTAGCCATCATTGACTTTTGTAGTCAATGATGATAAACTTTGGTTAATCGTTTTAAGATTTATATTTTAGTGAAAATTTTATATATTTTATACTTTTATGATTAAATTATGATATTATTTTTAACAAAGAACATTTTCATATCACTTTCATATTTTAAATACTTTTGTATATAAAGATATTATCAGTCAAAGTCTAGCATCTTTGACTGGAAAATTCAAAGATGACTAACTGAAATTAGATGAGTATAATGTAAACTAGTAGATACTTTGCATGTTTTATTTTGAATCATTTTTCTTAGTCATGAATTTTCAAAGTAGATTATTTTGGAATTACAATTCTCCATTTACTTATTTACAATGATATTATTTTTGACAATAGATATATTTCAATTTGTATGAAAAATATGCTATGGAATGGGGCAAAAAGGACAAACTACACATTATAATTTTTATTCACTTGAATTTGAATATTCGAATAGTATTTGAATTTGAGTATAGCAAACAAAGTGAATACAACAACATCCAACCAAACCTTAGTCTCAAAGTGAATAAGAATGTAAAATAATATTCGACCATTAAATGAATATGAATATTCAGTGATGTATACGAATACGGTTAATAATGTCAAGTATTCAGTTCAATTCAATTCGTTTACAACCCTAGCCAAAAGTAATAAAAATCATTGCATGAGTAAACATTGTTTTCTTTGGGTGGGGAGGGTAAGTTTAACAAATAACAGGACACATGCATGGCTGTGCAATTTACTTAAATACAAACCTTTAGTGGATTAAGGACAACCATTGCCCGAGGTGCTGTTCTGTTCAGTTCTTCTCTAATATGATACTCAAGGCGGTCCAAACGTATCAGGCTGTGGTCACTGCAGGAAAAGAACTCTCAGTACCGAAAGGATACAGAAAAAATTCATGTTTTAAATAAATAAATAAATAAATATTAAATGCATTCTCACATGCAAGATAATATGAACCTCACCTCCTGGTGATCCCAATTCCACGCACAAAATCATTAATTGCACTTGGAGTCACACCCCTACGACCCAAACCAGCTAGGGTCATCAGACGAGGATCATCCCATCCATCAACCCACTTTTCAGTTACAAGACGGTTTAACTAGAGAGAACAAAAAAGGTGGTCAATCACTAATAAATAAAAAGATGTTGTTCCGTGCTATGGGAGAGTAGAGACCAATTTAGGATTTGTTTGATTTAGGGGTTTCAAAGAGAAAGAGAGGGGTCTTGTTTATTTTCTGAATAATTTTTACATTTAGATGCTTGGAAATATTGTGAAGATAAAAGACTACAGATAAATTATCTAACTATCTAACTAATCATACAGTTAGTTTTAGTCAAACTAACAAATAGAGAAAAATTAGCAAAACCAAAATCAATCATCCTAACCAAAAAAGGCGTCAAAATATACCTTACGCAATTATGCAAAAATCTTCCTAACCAAACAAGCCCTTATAGATTCAAGTATACCTTACGCTTCGACATCACATTGTTAGTGATATTCAAACGTGAGTACTCCCACACAAAGGGTTTGTAGAGGCCTAGAGCATCCAACAGCCAGTAATATGAAGCACGACGGATCTCAAATTCAAGAGTACACAGCTACAAAAAAAATATACATTCCCAAAAAACAGATGGTCAACTATTACAACAAAATGATATCAACAGTTTCTTGATTCATAATGTGATGATAGTGTTCATAAAAGAGCTTATTTCATAGTGTGGGTATAATGCCATGTTATATCGACCATCACTGATGAAATGGCAAGTAACTTATAAATTGCCTAAATATCGCAGTCATTGGGTTAGGAATCACATTCCCATTATCATCACATGTTAAAATCAAACTCATAAATGAAAGCTTTTTAGAATGATAATTGCCAACATCATGTAATCCAAAATGAGGAACAGTAGGCTCCATATATATATATATATATATATATATATATATATATATATATATATATATATATATATATCTTAGACAATAAATTCAAGGATATTGTAACTCAATCAACCAAGTTATTATCAATTTAGAATTAAAGTAATTTTCCATCTTGTCAATGTTGTCATACTTGGGCAGATTTCATGCTTGACACATGTGCACATGTGGGTGGGTGTTTGCAAGCACATTCAAGCATTTAATTAAGCATTTGTCTGTTGGATGTACTCAAGTACATACAAACGCACACCCAGATAAGTATTGAAGTATTAAACACATGAAAATTCAAAAGAAAAATAGATGCATTGGGATATATCATGTTTCTTTAGAAGATCAAAGATATAACTTCCATTCGATATCAGAAATCTGATACACATCTAAATTGGGAAACTAAAAATGCTAACAAATTGAAAAGGTAACATTACGTACCGAATGAGTTACATTTTCAAGAGAATCGACTATGCAATGGGCGTAATCATAACTTGGATATATGCACCATTTATCCCCAGCATGTGGGTGTGGAGTGAACTTGAGACACGATTAAGCAAAAATCAAAATTAGATTATCAAAACTAACATTAACTTGCAGAAATTAAAATTTCATCCTAAGAATACTTGCCTTGATACGATAAGCAATCAAGTCATACATGTTTGGATTATCGCTTTGCATGTCCTGTTTCATACGTAGTGTTGCTTTGCCCTCTTCAATCATGCCACGCTTCATTTCATCAAACAGTCTTAAAGACTCTTCAATAGGCCGGTCCCTCCAAGGGCTGTTAATTTTTTTCTCCCTGAACTCTTTTACCTCTTCAGGTGTCTGAAATAGAAAGGTGGAACCAATCATGCACTCTTCTTCATATACTATTCCAAAAAAGGTTGGAGTGGATAATGATTATATCTATAGGCTTTGTGAGCATCTAAAGTTATATTTTAGAACCAACAAGCAGTACACTACAAAATTCAGAATTAAAAAAAAAAAAAAAAGAGGAAGAACACATACAGACAACTCCATAAAAACAAATACAGGATGCGGTGTTATGGATACATTAAACTTGCAAGGACATTATTTTTTAAAAAATAACCTGGTGATCAACATAAGCATGACCATTTTGTATCAAAGCCACTGCAAGCTCATAAAGTTCTTGAAAATAGTCACTAGTGTAAGTAATCTGCAAAAGGCTAGCCACAGTAAGAATACATAGCAAGCTATAAATCAACAGATTTGAGTTCAAATTTTACCTTAAAGGGTTCCCATCCCATCCATCTTACAATTTCTTCAATATGATCAATATACTCTTTCTTTTCAGCTTCCGGGTTGGTGTCATCATACCTAGAGAGACGGGAGATAAATTCATTGGCAAAAGCTGACAGAAAACTTCAGTAATACTTAACAAAGGAAAATCCTTTCTCTCTATTATTGTTATTTATTATTCATATGCCGATTTGTGTTAGCGGATCCCAAATGCTTTTGAGATTAAGGCTTGGATGTTGTTGTACTAATAAAAGAAAATAAAAATCTGGGGAAAAGAGAGACAGAGAAGAAACAAACAGAAAGCGAGTATGAGCAAATGGAATCTGAACCTCACCTCAAATAGCAGCATCCACCTCGTTCTTTTGCCAAGCCAAAATCAATAAACATTGCCTGTTTAATGAACAGATATTTACATTTAAAAGAAAAATGCAAGCGAATATCAAAAGGATATTTTAAAACGGCCATCACCTTTGCATGCCCTATGTGTAGATATCCGTTTGGCTCAGGAGGGAATCGTGTAAAAACTTTTCCACCAGTTGCTTTCAAATGTTTTTCAAGTAGTTCCTTTGTATTGCATACCCTACGAACAGGCCTGTCACTGAAGTATATTTCTGTATGCACCTGGAATAGATACAGAGATATTTACAGAAATAGAGCACTGTTTGTCACAGCTTAAAAACACTTTTGTGCTTTTTTGCTTAAAAAGCTAATAGTAGTTGAAATAGGTGCTTCTGCTTAACTTTAAGCGACTTAAGCTAAAAAGGTGTGATCAGGGAGTGTGCTTAAATCCGCTTTTCACCCTTTCTGTAATATTTTACGTATACACCAGAAATAACTTTCTTACCAAACAATCCGAATTCTACTTTTTTAAAATCACTTTTATTTCAAACCCTAAAAAATTAAACCACTTTTCACAAGCACATGCCAACACTACCAAAATGTCTAGGGAAAAAGAAGTTAATATGGCATGCAACATAGCTAAAGGTGCATGAAGTTAACATGTTGCCGACTACCATATTTATATCAAGGGAACCTCTATCACAACTATCACAATACTCTAAAGAGAAGGGGAATGTAGTTCACTAAAAGTTTAAGTATGTTCTTGGGAATAAGATCTCCTTTCAAGACAGAAAATATTCTTATAACAACAAAGGTACGATTACAAAGGAATGTGCATGCACCTACTACTTCAACACTTCAGCTACCTTGTAGTTTTCCTCTGGGGACGGGAAAATTGAAAATGGATTAACTTCATCCTCTAATGGACTTGATGCTGGCATCTCCTCTTTATTAGCCTTACACTGAGAAGGAGAAAGCACAATACGAGTAAGAAGGTGTTCTTTATGTTTATAAAGCTCCACATTTAGGGATCAAAATTTCAAAGTGAAGTAGCTTGAACCTCAACTTTAGCAGGCTTTTCTTTCTTCCTTTTGACAGGTTTCTCATCATCTTCAGCCGTTCTTTCACCAAGTAATGCAACTAATTTCGCATCTATGAGTTGCTGCGATGATAAACCAAACATTGCAGGTTTATAACAAATATGGAATTATAGCATAAAAAACCATGCCAAAGAGAATATTCATCACGCCTGAGACCATTAAAACCACAACACATTGCCAAGTTTCTCAAGTGAAATAGATACGAACATATTTCTATTGAAAATTTGATCACCTCAAGGTGTATCAGTTTTACATTTCTTGGCTGGCAAAAAATATTGGGGGAAATAGAATGCATCTCTGGACCAAAACAATTATGAACAAATGAACATAAATAAAGAGAATATTATTAGAGTAAACCAAAGCTTGACCATTTGAAGACAAAGTGTGTTAATAAAATAATAAGAACAAAGACATATGTGCAGAAATATTGAAGTAAGTTGGACCTAACTTTGATATTCTTAAAGTCCCAACCCCCACATCCCCCAAAGACAAGCCTAACAGAACTGGGAAGAAGTGAAAATAAAGAAACTTATTATTACCTTGACTATTTTAGGGTCTGCCCACGGCTGCCTCTTCCGGACGGCAGCAAAGAGTTCACCAACTACAGAGAAGGAAAAAGTAATCACATCATCTTGGAACTGGAAAATATACTAATGTAGTCAGAAATGTTACCCTACTTCAAAGAATCCATATACTACCATCTCTTAGGTAGCATGGAATGAAAAATAAACTACTTTAGTATGTGTTTATGAAATTGCATAAGTAAGAACATTGCTGCATCCTGCAGTGCTTCACATGTGGTATTATCACAACAATAAATACAAACCATTTATTCTGTACCGCAACTCCAGAATCTTAGGCTTGTTTTCTTCAAAAATATCATTAACAATGAGCTCTATGTCTTCCATGGACACTTCAACTCCTGTTAAAAAAAAACAGATATGAAATATTTCCAAAGAATATAGCAAGGACTATAAAGAGGAACTACAAGTAATGGTGGGTCAGATAACTAAATCAATGTAACTGGACCTTATAATGGAGAAATGGAGTAATAAGTAGGTATTCTGTTTCTCATTTCTCAGGAAATATTTAGTCTGTAAAGAAGAATACTAATGCAAAAGCTTGACAAAAATAACATAAGCGGTTTTCATACCAACACCACAAGCTTCCTCAAATTCATTGACCTTCAAAGTCTCAGAAGCATTAGACATAAGAAACCCGAATGCAGCGTCCAACTGAGCAGAGGTTTTAATCTGCAAGGATAAAGTTTTCAAGTTAATTAAGATGGAAGCCACGAAAATAATGAACATATTACTCTAACAGAACACAGAATTGAATGCTTCAACATCAATTGAAAAGGGAGTCAAACAGAACAGTATCCATTTGTGATGCCAGTTGGGGTAATGTTGATGTTTTACATTTACTGAGTTTAGCTGTAAATGAGAATAAAGAAAAAATGTACACCAAATTTCAAAACAAACAAAAACACTGAGCTACACACCTTAGATGAGACAATATACTTCAGCAATGTGGGGCGATGCACAAGAGCATTTGCTGGAAATTTCGTAGCAACCTAAAATGGGAGGAAAAGAAGTAGCAAATCTTGTGAATCCTTCGAAACTGTGCTAAAATAGTGAAAGATAATGAAAGCCTGGTTCATTCTTTAAAAGCTTGTATGGAGTACACTCATGTATCCAAAGAAATTAACTAACCACCTTGCTGATATAGCCTGTTTCTATCCAGCCTTTGTTTGGTAGAACTTATTACGTACTTTTTAAACTTATTTTAAACTACAGTTAAACAACAAGGATTGGCTGGTAAAAAAAGAGTTTCAAACTCATTGAAAGCTCTTATAAAATGCTGTAGGAGAGTTGCAATTTAGAAAAATTAGACTATTTATTAGATTCATTTTTATAGCCTTGTTATTTTAGAAAATATCAAGTTTTATCAATTCCTCATTAAAACAAAATCCAACTTTGTGTTTTTATACCTAGCAAATAATTTGATATCTGATTTATCCAAAAACTTTAACTGCACTAATAGTTTTTAGCTTTATGCCCGAGCTATAGCTTTTTAATTTCAGTTAATTTTCAGCTTTTTCCAAATTGGCCTTCTGAAGATAGCTCTAAATAATTTACTACACAAAAAATTGCTCTGTACATGTACAAAATGTTGTGCATCCACAATTGCAACTCTGCAGTTTATAAACATAATGAACATTCTTATAGAAGGTTACCTTTTGAACACAAAAAACATCAAAAATAAAATAGGCTAGCTTACCGTGTATAGAAGGTTTCCAGCAACTCTATCACATCCATGAGTAACAGCTGCCTGCAATTATCATTAAGATTTTTCTGTTCCTCTGACTTCATCAAAACTTCCCAAATTTTACATGCAGGCACAATTTTCTCATTGCAGTAAAGAATTAAAGGTCAAAAGACTTCAGTTTTTCTCTCATATGTGCTAGTTAAAAACTCACCCCTACCCAATTCTACATTAATCTTTGACTTTTCACAATAGCACTCCTGCTTTCTATATTCATCTCAATTCATAATAACAGTGTTTGTAATTAATTTATCCATCCCTGTCCCTAAGAATACACACAAGAAAGTCATTCCTGTTCAGAATCAGTCAACTACTTCTGCCAACGAGCCCTCTAGTTCAGCAGGAGTGGATATAGGAAGACGGGAATTGCTCAAGTACGGATTAGTCCATAGTACAGGACGTGTTTTTTCTTGATTTCTTTATTAGAATGCATATAAGAATATGTTAAACCACGCAAAATCTCAAAATGTACTACACTAATACAAACCAAATCAACCATTCCATGTATAGAACACTCCTTAGGAATTGAGTCATCAACTGTAAGCAATTACACAATCTGCTCAAACTCTTAACTGCATATACTAACTTTGGTTCCAGTTAGGAAAAGGCTCACTTCCCAGAAAGGAATTAACGAAGAGTAGCAATAAAACTAAAACAATACAGCCAAAGGTTGGCATCTAAAAGGGAGACTGTAATCTCATGGTGAAGGAATTTACCTCGTAGATTACAGCAGTAAGATTAGCGGTGACTTTGTTGTTTGCGACAGTGTTCTTGGCCGTCCGTTCATCCAAACCTATCTTCAGGAAGAGCTCCAAAGGGCTTTCGCCGCCACTTCCGTTATTCTCCGCCATTAATCTAATTCAAGACGATTAAAGACAAGTCAGTACTAATAGCTTTATATTAACAGTCTCGGCTTGACAGTATGGAGTCAGAATCTTCCAGCTATTGATTCTAAATAGATAAGTACTCCCTCCCCAATTTTCCTTTTATGTTTGTGTCCAAACAAATTGCTACTTTTCTTTCAAAGCAATGAATTTGTGGCTCCATAGTAGTCAATGGCGAGATATGCCGCGCGCCATATGCGCCATCGCCATGAAAAGGTGGTCGTCGCCATACCGCCATATGCATCATATGCGCCATTCGTATATGCACCATCGTCATGCGCCATAAAAAAATGCCTTTGAGCCATGGCGACCGCCATGCGCCATGGAAAAAGTGCGTGACTGTGTTCATTTCTCTCTTCTCTGCACAAATTTCTACCACACAATTTTTACTATTCTAATCACACCCAACATCAACTTGGCAAAGTTGAGTGGGGCGGAGTTAGTATATACTACGTACTTATTTACTTATTGAAAATAATTAATTAGTAGAAGGTTTTGTCATTTCCATTACTTGCTTGGTTAGGGTTTTCGGAGAAATTTGTATTACATGTACCCTCCAGTTATGGGTTAGGCAGAATTAGCAACTTTATAAAGTTAATTACATTATTATACATCAATAAATTTTGAAATAAGTACACAAATACGATTCATGGATTTACCATCGGAAAAGGTGGGCACCTATACCCTATATTACCTATAAGGGGTGTTCCCAGTGGCAGATCTTGGATATTTCTCCGTAATTTTGAAGTTTCAAATTTATTTTAAAAATTCTGGGTGTTCATATACCAGGGACAGATCTAGCTTTGTCATTGGGGGGGCAAAATTTAATTAAATAATGTATATTGGATAAAAAAAGTCAAAGTGTAATATAATAAGGTATATTTAACAACATTTATTTTCAAGTAAAAAATACTATTGATACAAAAAAATCAAAGACAAAAAAATACGATAGTATTAAGAGTTTTTGTCAAAGTAAAAAAAAAAACACTTTTACAACAGCAATTCTGGATGAGCTATCTTCATTAGCTCCTACTTCAACAGGGTTATAATATCTCTTTATTAACTTTATTGAAACCAATGAGATTACTAGTTACTTCACTAATACGTAGTACTAACAAACTAAATACTTACATGTTTACATTATTAATAACAAATTACAACCAAATTCATACTAATATAAATTAGAAATAATGACCCGTATAGTATCATTGGACTTTCAATTTACAAAAGTATGACCTTATTTTTATTTTCCAAAAAAGTATTCTTTTACTTAATGAAAACGTGCAGATCTCCGCATCTATTTCACCTTTCCAGCGGCTCCATCGCATAGGGAGACCAAACGATCGATCTCGCCCATCGCGCCTTGCTTCTCGCTTCCAGCGCAGAAAACGATGGAGGATGGCCATCGATCTTCCAGCGCCGGCGAGTGAATTGAAGACGAGGCCGCCGCCACCGTGTATATTCTCCTTTCTTCTTCTACACAAAATCTTGAGCTAGGGTTAGGGTGGCGGTCGGGAAATGGGCTGGCTGGTAGGGCCTGACCAGTAGGGTGAAGGGGGCTAGTGTTAGACCCCTAAGTTCTGAGGGTCTTTGACGGGTCAAGTTAGCCTTGGCTTGACTGCGGCATTGGGTGTGGCATCAAGGTTGTCCCTTAGTTCGTGAGCATCGGGTGTTGATTGACCGCGGCATGCAAGGTAGGGCCTTAGGCAAGCGTGGGGCAAGGCAACGGAGATGGCTTTGAGGAGCTAAGGCAAGTGACAGTTAGCTCGTGGGTGGCTTGGTTTAGGCCGCGGCATGGATGCTAGCATGAGTGGTCGCGACGTTTCGGGTTTACGCCGCGGCATGACTCAAGGCTGAAGGCGGTTGACGGTTATGGGGCGAACAGTCGCGACGGTTCGGGTTTACGCGCGGCATGAAGCAAACGGATGCACCAAGGGAGCGAACCGGTGGCATTGGCTGTGCGGCTTCAACTGTTGCCCAACGAAGAGACGCGTCCTTTAGCTATGGCAGTTGGCTTGTAACTGCCAGACCTGGCCGGTCCATAAATTGCGCCGCGGCATAACCACGAGTTTTGGAGGCAAGAGTGCGTGGCATTGCTTGTATTGTCCTTTGTATTATTTTGTGAGATTAATACATGGTTGGTCGTTGACCGTAAAGTGTTGTGTGTGCCTTGAGTATATTCTAAGTGTTCTAAGTGTCCCTAAACCTAAGTAAAACGGGTTTGTGAGTTAGGCTGACTATCTTAAGGGTTAAGATAGGCCGTACACGAGCGAAAATTCTAAGTCCAGAATTTCCCTGTGTAACAATTGGTATCAGAGCTGATGGCTGACGACAGCGCTTCGTTTATGGGCGACCAGGAGAGTCCGGACACCGCAAGGGTCTTTATTCAAAGCCTGATCGAGGATGCACTTAAGCCTGTGTTGGAGCGGCTTGAGATGGTGGAAGCCTCGAGGATGGAGTTTGAAAACGAGAATGAGATTCTCAAAACCGAGATTATGATTTTGAAGAAAGCCATGGCCACGGGCTCGCGCCCGGGTGTGGATGGCAGTTCTTCAAAAGTCAGGGTTCCGGAGCCGAAGTGTTTTGCTGGTGCCCGAAACGCAAAGGAACTAGAGAATTTCCTTTGGGACATGGAGGAATATTTCAAGGCTGCCAAAAGTCAGGCTCCTATGTACCTGTCCGAGGATGCTAAGCTTTGGTGGCGAGGCAGATCGGCGGATGATGTGGCTTCTGGAAGGCAAGGCATTGAGTCATGGGAAGGGCTCAAACGGGAATTGAAGGCACAATTCCTGCCACATAACGTTTCCTGGATGGCGCGGGAATCGTTGAAGAAACTGAAACATAGCGGTTCAATCCGTGAGTACGTGAAGGAGTTCTCCTCACTCATGTTAGACATTCAGAACATGAGTGACGAGGATAAACTCTTCAACTTCATGAGTGGCTTACAACCATGGGCGCAGGCCGAGTTGCGGAGACTGGCTGTGAAAGACTTACCCACGGCTATGGCTGAGGCGGAGAGTTTGGTTGACTTCAAGGCAACGGCCCCTCAAGGCAAAAAGGGGGACCACGGCAAGAAGGACCAGGCTGGCAAGGCAAAGCATGGTGGGAAAGACAAGTCTAAGAAGAAGGACTCGAAGTCTTCTTCTGATGGAGGAAAGAGGGACAAGTCCCAGTCCGGGTGTTGGACATGTGGCGGAGACCATTTTCAGCGTGATTGTCCCAAAGCCTCCAAGATAAATGCCATGGTTGAAGGGGAATCGAAGGACCAGGGTGCTGGCCCGTCCCATTGTAGCCCTCTTCAGTTGCTGACTGCTATGAACGAGAGACCCCAGCGGGTGGTTAACCGGGGGTTGATGTACGTCAATGTACAGATCAACGGTGTAGAGATCTTGGCGATGGTCGACACTGGTGCAAGTCATAACTTTGTTGCGGAAAGGTTGATTCCCAAGTTGCGACTTGAACTTGAGGAGAATAGTTCCAAGATGAAGACGGTGAATGCCGCGGCCAGAGATGTCACTGGTCGGGCAGATGTCTCACTCAAAGTCGGAGACTGGTTGGGAGTTTGTAGCCTAACAGTTCTGCCCCTGGATGACTTTGACCTGATCTTGGGGAACGAGTTTCTCCTTGCTGCAAGGGTGGCAGTGTTTCCCTATTTAGGAGGGATGATGATCAACGACGAAGAGAAGCCTGGCTTTGTGAGAGGCAGGTACGCAGATCAAGGTAAGGCAAAAGGGATTGCCGCATGCTCGGCTATGCAGATCAAGAAAGGCATGAAGCGTGGGTACGAGACGTATCTGGCTGTCATGATTGAGACCAAGGAAGGGATTTACCAAGATGTTCCGGAAAGAGTTGCTGACTTGTTGGAAGAGTTCAAAGATGTGATGCCACCGGAGTTGCCCAAGAAGTTGCCTCCTAGACGTGCTGTGGATCACAAGATTGAATTGGTTCCAGGAGCAAGGCCTCCTGCCCAGGCCCCTTATCGGATGTCCCCATCGGAGTTGGAAGAGTTGCGGTCCCAGTTGAACGAGTTGCTGGAGAGCGGCCTGTTGCAGCCTTCCAAGGCACCCTATGGCGCTCCAGTTCTGTTCCAGCGGAAGCATGATGGATCCCTCCGGATGTGTGCTGATTACCGAGCCTTGAACAAGGTCACTGTGAAGAACAAGTATCCAATACCGAACGCACAGGACTTGTTTGACAAGCTGTCAAAGGCTAGGGTTTTCACAAAGCTGGATTTGAGGGCGGGCTATTGGCAAGTCAGAATCAGTCCCGGAGATGAGGGTAAAACGACCATAGTCACTAGATATGGCTCCTATGAATTCCTTGTAATGCCGTTTGGGCTAACCAATGCCCCGGCTACTTTCTGCAACTTAATGAATGATGTTCTTTACGAGTATCTTGATTTGTTTGTCGTTGTGTATTTGGATGACATTGTGGTGTATTCGAACTCTGTTGAAGACCACATTGTGCATCTTAGAAAGGTCTTAACGCAACTGCGTAGGAACGAGTTGTATGTTAAGAAGGAAAAATGCGAGTTTTGCATGGGCCAGATTTCGTTCCTTGGGCACGTAATTAGCCAAGGAGAAATCAAAATGGATTCAAAGAAGGTTGAAGCCATTGTTGACTGGCCGGTCCCTAGGGATGTGGGACAGTTGAGATCGTTTCTTGGGTTAGCCAACTATTATCGGCGGTTCATTAGCGGCTATTCCAAAAGGGCAAACCCTTTGACGGATTTGACGAGGAAGAAGCAGAGTTGGAACTGGACAGAGGCCTGTCAGCGTGCCTTTGAAGATTTGAAGAAGGCCGTGGCTAGTGAGCCAGTCCTGAAGTTGCCAGACTTTGCTGCCCCGTTCGAAGTCCATACCGATGCCTCAGACCGAGCTTTAGGCGGAGTGCTTGTGCAGGATGAGCACCCCGTGGCCTTTGAAAGTCGGAAGCTGAAGGATGCGGAAACAAGGTACAGTGCCCACGAGAAGGAAATGACGGCCGTTGTCCATTGCTTGGAAGTATGGAGGCACTACTTGCTTGGTACGAAGTTTAAGGTGGTGACCGACAACGTGGCGAACACGTACTTCAAGTCCCAGAAGAAGCTGTCCCCAAAGCAGGCTCGATGGATGGAGTTCCTGGACGAGTTTGACTTTGACTGGGTTCATCGGCCAGGCCGGCACAATGCCGTGGCAGATGCACTTAGTCGGAAGGTTGTTGATGAGTATGTCAACGCTTTGGTGATGGTGCAGGGGAATATGGTGGAACGGATAAAGGAAATGGCTAAGGAAGACCCAAGCTATCAACGTTTGTGTGAACAGGTGGCAAGCGGTGCCGTGAGAAGGTACTGGCTGGAAGATGGTGTCCTCTTCGGCAAAGGAGGACGACTGTATGTCCCTGTTGGTGGACTTCGCGTGGAGCTCTTGAAGGAGACTCATGACCCGCAGTGGGCAGGTCATCCCGGTGTGGCACGGATGTTTGCACTGCTGTCCAGAGACTACGTGTGGCCAAAGATGGAGCAGGACATCGAGGCATACGTGAGGACGTGTCTTGTGTGCCAGCAAGACAAAACGGAGAAAAGGAAGGAAGCGGGTTTGCTTCAACCTTTGCCAATCCCGAGCAGGCCTTGGCAATCTGTTTCTATGGATTTTATTTCAGGTTTTCCTAAAGTTGGTGGCATGTCAACCATTTTGGTGATCGTGGATCGATTTTCCAAGTATGGTGTGTTCGTGGCTGCTCCAGATTCGTGTCCGGCTGAAGTAACGGCGGAGCTGTTCTTCAAAAATGTTGTGAAGCATTTTGGTTTACCGGAAGATATCATCAGTGATCGAGATTCAAGGTTCACTGGAAGGTTTTGGACTGCCCTGTTCAAGATCCTTGGCAGTGATTTGAAGTTCTCCACTGCGAATCATCCGCAAACTGACGGGCAGACGGAGAGGATGAACGCCTTGCTAGAGGAATACTTGAGGCACTATGTGACTGCAAGTCAAAAGAACTGGCTTGAGTTGCTGGATGTAGCGCAGTTTTGCTACAATCTTCATCAAACAAGTACGACTGGAATGACTCCGTTCGAGTTGGCTCTCGGATTTCAACCCTTGGCGCCTCACCAAGTGATTGCAAGGGTAGGAGGGCAGTGTCCAGCGGCGGTACGTTTTGCAAGGGACAAGCAAGAGCTGATTGAGGAGGCCCGAGATAGTCTTGCGTTGGCCCAAGCAAGGATGAAGAGACAAGTTGACCAGCGGAGAAGAGATGTTCAGTTCCAAGTCGGGGACTTGGTGATGCTGAAATTGACTCCACAGATTTGGAAGAAGATCAGTACCAAGTCTGTTCACCGAGGCTTGATTCCGAAATATGATGGTCCCTTTGAAGTCATGCATAAAGTGGGTGAAGTGGCTTATCGTTTGAAGCTACCAGAGAGATTGAAGATCCATCCTACTTTTCATGTAAGCTTCTTGAAACGATTCAATCAAGAGGAGTTTGATGCTTCGAGGCAGCAAGCAAAGAGAGCCCCTCCAACGATTCGAAGTCAGTTTGAGAAGGCTGTGGAGAAGATCTGGGACCATTCTATTAAAGGACAAAGCAAGAAGAACCGGCGCACGGAGTACCTAGTCCAGTGGGAAGGTGACTCCAAGGCAGATGCGGTTTGGGTGAAAGACATCAACTTGTGGCAGTTCGAAGACAAGATCGAGGAGTACTGGCGGAGCCGGGATGGAACTTCGCAGCCTCCGACGAGGACGTCGGACTCTCCTGGTGGGGGAGGTTTGTTAGACCCCTAAGTTCTGAGGGTCTTTGACGGGTCAAGTTAGCCTTGGCTTGACTGCGGCATTGGGTGTGGCATCAAGGTTGTCCCTTAGTTCGTGAGCATCGGGTGTTGATTGACCGCGGCATGCAAGGCAGGGCCTTAGGCAAGCGTGGGGCAAGGCAACGGAGATGGCTTTGAGGAGCTAAGGCAAGTGACAGTTAGCTCGTGGGTGGCTTGGTTTAGGCCGCGGCATGGATGCTAGCATGAGTGGTCGCGACGTTTCGGGTTTACGCCGCGGCATGACTCAAGGCTGAAGGCGGTTGACGGTTATGGGGCGAACAGTCGCGACGGTTCGGGTTTACGCGCGGCATGAAGCAAACGGATGCACCAAGGGAGCGAACCGGTGGCATTGGCTGTGCGGCTTCAACTGTTGCCCAACGAAGAGACGCGTCCTTTAGCTATGGCAGTTGGCTTGTAACTGCCAGACCTGGCCGGTCCATAAATTGCGCCGCGGCATAACCACGAGTTTTGGAGGCAAGAGTGCGTGGCATTGCTTGTATTGTCCTTTGTATTATTTTGTGAGATTAATACATGGTTGGTCGTTGACCGTAAAGTGTTGTGTGTGCCTTGAGTATATTCTAAGTGTTCTAAGTGTCCCTAAACCTAAGTAAAACGGGTTTGTGAGTTAGGCTGACTATCTTAAGGGTTAAGATAGGCCGTACACGAGCGAAAATTCTAAGTCCAGAATTTCCCTGTGTAACAGCTAGGAAGGTGGCTGGTAGAGTGGTTGGGCTTGCGATTTGCAACGATTGGAGATTCCGATGGTTTAATTTCAATTCTCATGTGGCCGGGGTTGGGGGCCAGACTTGGGCCAAGTGCAGGGGAAGGGACTGGAGGGCTAGGCAGGAAGGTTTGGGTTCAGGGAAGGGGGTTTGGCGGTGGTGGTAAGGGAGGTGGTCCGTGGTGGTGGTCAGTGGCGGCGCTAGGACAGGGTAGGCAAGAGATGGAACTCAGGGGGTGTGAGGCGTAGGGGAGGATGGGGCTGGGAACATCGGAGGACAGAGACAGCAGTCACTGTGACCAGAGAGCGGCATGTCACTGTGGCGGTGCATGGGCAGTCACTGTGGCGGTGCGTGGGCAGTCACTGTGGCGGTGCGTGGGCAGTCACTGTGGCGGTGCGTGGGTAGTCACTGTGGCGGTGGGGTAGTCACTGTGGCGGTGGGGTAGTCACTGTAGCCGGTTGGACAGTCACTGTGACGGTGGGGCAGTCACTCTGGCGGTGGGATAGTCACTGTAACCGGTGGGGCAGTCATTGTGGCGGTGGGGCAGTCACTTGGTTGGAGTCACTCTGACCGGAGTCACTTTGGATTGCAGGGGCTAATTTGTTGTTGGTCACATTTTTGGATTTTTTAAAAACGTTTCACTTTTTTGTCTTTTATCCTATTTTTAGTAATATTTAGGCCAAAATCACAAATACTCAAATGAATCAAATTGCATATAATTTATTTCGTAGTATTTTATTCTGAAGAGTGAACAGACAGAACGGCTAAACAGCTATTTTAGTAAAGTAGCAAACCGCTGAAAAGCTATTCTAGTAAAGTAAAAAACTCAGCAAAATAGCAAACCAAGTTATTAATATGGAATTCTGCAAATCGGACAGAATTGAAAAATATAAAGAAACAATGAACAATTAACAAACTAACCAATTGATTAATTGAAGAGCAGAAATGGCGTGAAATATAATAAAAAAGCTAAATTGGATATAAAATATACAATAAAACTAAACAATTAACATAACTTACCGGGCCGCTGAAATGGCTAAGAGCAGAATCGGCGTGAGATACTGAGATGAGAGACGAGGGTGAAAACTGTCCAACGGCCGACCGTAGTCCGGAGTCACCACCTCACCGGACCGCCGACTGACGAATGACGAGGAGTTGGATTTTTCCGAAGTGCCGATTAGCGATGTGCGCCCTGCGTCCCTGCTGTGCAGCTGTGGTCTGCGTCTGTGGAGATGAAGAAGCAAGCTATTTGGAATTTTGATTTTTCGGCTGTATTTTTGGGCTTAGCCGGATGGGCGGCTACTCGCTTGGGAGATGGATAGGGTGGGCCTGATTCCTCCCTGGCCCCAAGTCCAATCCGTCCTGCATATACACATAAATTGTTCCTTTGATATAGACTATTTGCCCAAATCACTCTACATAATTGCAATACTTTGTGGAGAGTCATTTTCCCGCTCAGCCTTTTAGCCGCACGATTCATTTTCAGATCTACGGCTCATGTATGCTTAACAACTCCCTACTCAATTTCCATTTTTCAGATATATGTTTCTCATCCTCCGCTTAATCTGAAATCATCAACCTTCATTGGAATTTCATTGAGTCGGCTTCTGTGCAGAAATCATTTTAGCTTATATCCCAAACAAATCGCTGAGCCAAAGAAAATCATTCAGTCGGTTTCTCATCCTCTTTACCGGAAATTGTCGAAGGCCTTCATCTCTATCCCCAAAGAAATCGATTAGCCTTAAGATAAATCCTCACATGATGCTGAAATTGCAGAAAAATCAAGATATATCATCCTAAAATGCCGCCATGTTTGCAGAAGAAGAGGGATGTTGATACACATATTAGACGAAAGGATGCTAACAGAGCGTTAGATCGACTATAGGGTCAAACGCTACAATATCCACCATTCGATCATCCACTCGCTGAAAGACTTTCTCAACTCTGTACATTTCCTCACTGCTCTTCTTAACTATTTTATTTTGTTTTATTAATTAATTTTATCAATTCTATATTTTCAATTTAATTATTCTATAGATAATTAATTGTATTGTAATTGCTAAATTTTTGGTAGCTATCTGTTTTATATTACGAGTACATGAAATATGAGAGACCAAATTTTACCTTAATCAAATACATGGTTAGGTGTTTTTTTTATACATGGTTAGGTGTATGCGGAAAAAGTAAACAAACCTCCGCCAGCACATACATGCAAGATGATTTTCAGAATTCATTGTTGCAACTGAAAGTGAATTTATTCTGTGTTAATTTTTGGCACAAAACTTCTGCTATGAGTTGTTCTCCTAATAGTTTATTTCTTCGGTTTAGGTAAGTGTGTATGTGTGGTCTTAGCTTATTTCAATCAACTCTGTATGACGAGTTCTATTTTGATGAAAATTTGAAATACCATTGTTCATTTCCATGACAGAAATTTATGATTTCAAACCAATTCATGAATTGAGAGGGAAAATCTGTTTTGGACAATGTACTGCTAATCTGTAGCAAGAGAATTGTTTATGACAACAATTCCACCTCAAGACACCTTAAAAGTGTATAGATTACTGCTACACACACACTAACCATCAGATTTAAAGGAGGGTTTTTTACAATTAGGATGCTTAAAGGTGGATAATGGAAATTAACAGTATGGGTGAATTGATTTATCTGAATGGGTAATTGATAGTTAAAAGTCTTAAGACTACCTTAAATATGATCCTTTTTGCTTCGAAATTTGTCAGTATTGGTTTAAAATTAAACTTCTGCTATGAATTGTTCCTCCTACGGTGTGTTTGTTATGTTTAAGCAGGAGTGGAAGTTTGGTCTTATTTTAGTTAACATAACGATCATTCTTTTTAGAGAAACCATAAAAGATCATTCTTCATTTCCATAGCAGAAAGGTGGAAGCATCCATGCACCAGTCACGAATGAGCTCTCAATGTCCTATTATGTATACAAAGTTGATTAACAAATTAAATTATTGTATAAATATTTTCACCATGTATTAAAAAATGATGTTGAACCTATATGATTCTATCCTATTTTATTGAATTGCTAATTCTCTTTGTTATATTCTTTTGGGATTTAGTACTTCGTGTAGAATATGGACAATGGCTGAAAGAGCATAAGAGACGTATTAATGAACTAAGGACAATTGTCAATTCACATGCAACTGATATTGAGATCCAAATCGTTTCTGACATGTCAAATTATAGGGGCAGTAGTATATTTGTTATCCTTTTAAAGGTATGTTATGCTTCGTTACCATTCTTAATATGTTTATTCCTTTACCATGATGTTTGGTAACATTGGTTGTTGACAATGCCGTAAGTGATAATATTGCTGCATGGTTATACTTGGGTGCTGCTCTTTTATCAGGTTCTGTAATAATGGGTTTCTTCTTTGATGCCCAGGGGTGAGCCATATTATATGGCTTATCATCCCAATTCATAAGTTTTTTCTTTTTTGCTTATAGACATTATCCAAATTCATTAAGCATTTACTCTCATATGCTAACATTGTTGTTTTCATACGTTCTGACTTCATATGTGAATTTGGATGCACTTACTACAGTAGAATTTTGTGCACCTAAACGGCTATTCCAGTCTGTTCGCCCAGTTGCCTGTTCCACATTTCACTTAAGGACATCCCCTTCCAGCTTTTGCCCTTCGCCGGCTGCGTGGTGCGATATGCTCAGAAGCTCACTGAAGCTGAAGTGCATGAGTCTCTTCTTGACTGCCTCACTAGACATTGGTTTCTAATTTGATGTATTGCAGTCTGCCAAGAAAGCCCCAACCCTCCAGTGGTGAGAAAAAGTTGCAATGGTTCGTAAACGATTTCAAGATGCTAAAACGGGCTTTGCTTTGCTAAAAGGAGTATTATCACTTCTGGCAGCGATTGAGTTAGGCGTTGCTCTGCACTTATACTATAGCTGGCTTGGCGTGGCTATATAATGAGGCGTCATCACTTGGGTGGTGGACGCTGAAACCAAAGACAAAGAAAGAAAGGGAGTTGGTCCACCTCTATGAGCGGAGAGGTTACCATATCCTGGTGATGAAGAAGCCATGAAGGAGTTTATTGCCAATGGTAGGATGATCGGTACAACCATCGGACCCAAGGGGCTTATGTTGTCGGATAAAGACTCTTATAACTTTCAGAAAGCTTTGCAGGACCAAAAGAAGGAGCAGGAAGTCCTCAAGCTCTGGGTGAGGATGAGGAATGAAGTCATCTCCGAACTCTAGAGAAGGGATTTGATGTCGAATAAAATGAGGCTCTTCCCATTCTTACATAGTTGTACTTATTACAAGCAAAATATTGATATTTCTATTTAATCTTTTGTGATAAAAATAGACAGTAAGAATACTTCAACACCAGTGCCATAGCAGCAAGACTCTGTTATTACTCTATGCTGCCATACATGAGTTCATGATAAGGTGTGATATCATCATCATCGTTGTTTTTGTAAACACCCTTAGTAGGAACAAGTCATGTAATAAGTTTTTTATTTTATGTTAATTGGGAGTATGGGAGTTTGTGTATATTTTTGGCCTTTCTTAGTTACTACTCCGTATTACGTATTATGTTATTTAATAGTATTGTGACTTATCTTTCCTTCTTTTCTACTAAATTAATGAATTGTGAAGTTTGACTCTTCACTTGAGGAATTTTTTATTAGCCAATGTGGAAAGTTCAAGTTCACTTATCACGTCCCATATTACATATGAGGGAATTCCAAATCTGCAATTGCATGCTTATTGGGGAAGATAAGCCTCACATGTTCAAATATGACCAAATATGGCTCTTTTATTTTAAGTATACAAGTATATCGGTTAAGTATTTCCTTGAGCCAAAAATTTAGATGAAGCCTCTTCTATCATTTTGATTATTATACAATTTAGAGCCAATTATCAAAACTTATGTGGAAAAACTTGATTCACAAGACCTATACAGCCATACACTAATACACTGAAAACAGGGGTTGCCAATTACCATACATGTAGGGAAAGTCATTGATTACTGTTGATGTGTACAATACATCAACATCATCCATGAGTAGAATACATGCAAAATTATCCATGAGTAGAATACATCATAGACTTTTGAGTAAGGGAGTGTTTGCAATTGCTTCAACTTTAAAAGAGTGATTTTTTAAGGTGATTTTGGAAAAATTGATTAATGGTAAACGTTGGTAGTGTTTGAGAAAAAAAGTGATTCTAAAAAAGTAAAAGTTGGTAGTGTTTGGTAAAATAAGTACTTTTTGTGTAATAGAAAAAGTGAAAAACAGTTTAAAGCACCCTTGCACCTGCTTCCAGCTTTTAGCTTTTAAGTGATTAATTTAAGCAGAAACTGTGATTTAAAAACACTCTTTTTAGCATTTTTAAACCCAAAAGCTGAAAAACACTTTTTTTAAGCAACCGCAAACACTGCTTAAAGGAGTGTTTGGGTTTGCTTAAAAAAAGCGCTTTTCAGCTTTTGGCTTAAAAAAAGTTGAAAAGAGTGTTTTCAAATGACAGCTTCTGCTTAAATTAATCACTTAAAAGCTAAAAGCTGGAAGCAGATAGAAGGGTGCTTTAAACTGCTTCTCACTTTTTCTATCACACAAAAAGTACTTATTTTACCAAACACTACCAACTTTTACTTTTCCAGAATCACTTTTTTCTCAAACACTACCAACTTTTACTATTAATCACTTTCCCAAAATCACTTAAAAAAATCACTTTTTTAAAGTTGAAGCAATTGCAAACACTCCCTAAGTCTCCTATAAGTGTTCAAATTTATTATATTTTACGATGATACCAACCTAGAAAGTTTTAAATTTCGGTGATGACGAGGTGTGGAACTTTGCAACTTTTATCACCTTTTAGAGCCCATTTGATAATACCGGAATCGGTCGAATCCATTAATTCTATTGAAATTTATGGAGTTCTGACTGAAGTTGCTGATTCTGCTGATTTATGAAAAAATTAAAATATAACGTATCAATAAAATAAAGAAACAATTATATGAAAGAAAGCTAAAATAATTCTTTATAGTAATTTAAGGTTTTCAGCAAATACAATTAGAAGAGTAATTCAGATCTTACTTTTTCGTATCATTACACAATTTAGCGCGTGAAATTAAAAATTACGTGTTTGGTGAAAAGTTGATTAATAAGTCTGCTAAACTGAAAAACGGGACCACCAAATGGTCTCTTAACTAGCCATAAACATGCTCTATTCACTTTAACCTCTATCATTATATTTCTTGGACATTGATAGAATTTAATAATTATTAACGACATCCCGTGCAACGCACGGGTGAAAATCTAGTCAGTAATAAATTACGGAGTAATTAAAAGTATCC